TTCCCATGTGATGAATTGATAAGGTAAAAAGGATTTAACACGTGATTTATTGTTTCCGAAATCTTGAGTGAATTGGTCTAATGTCCCACCCGCTATATAATTTCTGATGTCAATAAATCTCAATTCATATGGAGTGTTTGTTTTCTTTACAATGATTTGCTTAAATTGTGAAGATGAACCCAGCATTGATTTTATTTTCCATTTTGCAGTGTTTAAATCACGAAGAATTAAATTTAAATCAAACTTTCCCGAATTAAAACCTATGATATTCACTTTATTGAATTCCTCATCTAGAAGTTCTTTAAATGCTTCCTTCTGTTTTTCATTTAATGTATGAGACAAAGTTCCCGCCGTTTGCGACTTCAATAATTCATTGTATTGACTCATATTTGATTCAACAACTAATGAACAGGTTGAAAATAAAAACTCAATCCAATCAGAAATAAAAGAATCACTCGAAGTTAAGCAAAAATTCCTCGTATATGTTTTATCGTTTAATTTAACCGTTGATGATACCATGAATGGTTTTAAGTAAGCATTCAAAGTTGCACACTCAGAAAGTTGTAATTCTTCTTTAGTCTCTAATGTTTCAAAGTCAAAAGTAATATAATATCTTGTCGGTTGATAATATTTCTGCAAATTGTGAGCTAATAACCACTGATATATCTTCTGTTTCGTAATATGTGGTGCATATGGTTGCTGTGTCTTTTGCAACTGAACGTCTTGAATTAATCTTCCATTATTTTCTTTACATTTCTCACAATACTTTAAAAATCTTCTTTGGTTTTTCCTTTCTGGATCATCACGGATAGAATAAACTTCTTCTTTACAATATGGACAAACTTTATAGCCAGTGAGTGCTTCAACGTCTGTTATTCTGTCAGCGTGAAGTTTTCCACATGGACTCTGTGTTAATAAAATATTTACTGTTTCAAATTCTGGATCTATCATTATTGAATCCACTAATGGAAAGTCTACCTTATTTATGTCCACGTCTTCTGGTTGAGGATCACAATAATAGAAATCAATATTAACGTTTAACATTCTCGCTAATCTCTCACTTTCTGATGAAATGTCAAACCCTTCATATGCATCTATTGCTTCATTTAAATAGCTTCTACGAGTTTTAGGATTAGCACCATCAGGAATGTTATAGAAGCGTTTAAATAACCTTCTACCTTCTGCTCTAATTTGATTATCATTCATTTTAGCTGTTCCGTTTTTGTTCATTTATGTAAGAATAAAAAATTAAAAAATAAATAAAAATAAAATTTATTTTTTAAGGATACCCTTACATTGCGTAGTTAGAAAGAGAATATGATATTGTCATGATTGCTAAAGTTTTAGGCTCCAGAAATGAATATACATCAAACTGAAACAATTGATAAATTGAATGAACTTTTGAGAGGTTCTCAAATAAAAAAAATATCTAATTTTTTACAATATTACTATTATTTTATCCACATATGTATATATAGTAATTTGAGAAAACTTTTAGGAAAAAATAAGTTTAATAAAAATCTGAATTTTACTTGTTGTGGGATTGTTATTAATTGACACTCCAGACGTATTACTAATAGTTATGCGTATGCAATTAAAGTATTTCTGATGGACAAAATGTGAGATTTATATCAGATAATTCATTTCTACTATTAAGTTATTCATTTATGAGTTTGCACTTATTCGCACTAAATAAATAACTATTAAAAATTGTTTTAATTAATTGACACCATATAATAGAGTGAATTTTGTTTGATCAAACAACAATAGATGATAGATATAAAGCCAAGAAACTTGCTATTAATATGCTCTACTTGCTATTTCAATGTAAGTATGATATTTTCTAAATGTTTCGTTCAGATAACTTAGATATATTAGTCAAAATTTGAAATTTTAATAGCACATATATTAAAAATAATTATTATTCATAAAAGATTAATGAAATAGTAAAAAAATCAATCAAATTATAAAAATACAACATTTAGAAGAATTCTTATTATCCTTCAAAAAGTCAGTATTTCTGCTGTAATTTTCTACAACATTGTAGTTATTGCACTTTGTCTATGGATTTGTATATATGTTATATATAAATTATATATCTAAACTGCCCATAAGTGCAATTTTTATATAAATTGTTTATTTCTTTAACAATTTCATATGAAATATGCTTTTTTAAAGCGTATCAAAGCTGTGTTCTTAATGTGCATGGATATATCAAGAAAAATGTCGAAAAAAAATGTGAATTCACAAATTCACTGAATTTTCACCGTTTTTTGAATTTTGCTACAGCACTAATATTAAATAATACTAAAATCTTCTGTCTTTGTAAAAGAATAAATTCTGACAAAAAGTGCTCGTTTAAATTTAATGATCATCTGTATGACTAAGTGGTAAAAGTGTTTATGACCAAAAAAGGGTTACATGCTTAGTCTATTTTTCTGACAGGATACTCTAGATTTACATGATCTCTATTTCATATCTCCGTTTTTAGATTCTTCGACAGATTTTATGATAGAAAACCAAGATTAACAAATTTCCGGCATGTTAATGAAGAAATCTGCAGCTACCCTCAATATTATTTCAATAATCAGTATCGTTTCTCTTACAATTTATTTTTTTCTCAATAATTTAACAAGAAATAACAATACACACTTGGTTTTACGTATAAAAGCTAAGTGTCGAACTTAATCAACTTTACTTACTTAGCAAATGAATATTTTTGTGGTTGCGAGTCTGAATGCTGAAGTTTTAGATTTCTCTATAAATGATATCATTGCACTTACAATGTTGTTCCAGCCTATCGCATAAATCATAGAAAATCCAAAAAAAATAATATAAAGAAAATTCATGTCATGAAGTTCAAAAAATACCATGTAACATTAAAATTTGTTATGCATAATACATTTTAGCTATTATTGATTTTTTTTAATTTTCGAGAAATTGAATGGTGAGTCCGATAGAGAAATTTTTAAAAATCCTAGTGCCTCATAGAAGTAATTTCCCTCGTCTCCCATACTTCCAAATGTATGCATATGACATAAACTTTTATGCATTACACAAGTGGCCAATAATATCTATAGAGTAAAAAATTAGAAATTTAATTTTTTTATATGATAGTTATATTTCAGATTTGCGAGCGTAACTTTTTTCTCCATGGCATACTTGTTTTAAGAGCAAATGATCAAAATCGTCCTTCAATTATTGAAGGAGCTGATATCTTTTGAAAATTGAATTGAAAGGGTATTCAATTTTCAAATTTCCTCTCAATTTTGGAAACATATCAACTCTATGAATTAACAATTATGTGCCTTCACAGTTTATCAGTCATATAAGGTGCTTATAAAGAAAAAAGTTACGCTCGCAAAATATGTTTTTATATAGATTTCACATAAAATAATTATGTAATTTCTAAAAAGAATATTTTTGTTCTTGAATATTAAAGTGTATTGTAGTTTAAAAAGTTTTAAATATGTTGCTAAAATTTCAGGTTTATAGCTCATGTCTAGCATGACTTCTTCGTATGCGCAAAAAATCTGACACGTAAGGGTATCCTTAAAGCCCATAAAATGAATTAAGAACACATAAATTTTTATCATCTGCGACGTGACGAATACATTTTAATTTACTCAAAAATGCGTACCCTGATACATTAAATCTAATTCCTGTCTTATTTAATTTCACAACTTTGAAAAGGAATGTATGAATAGCTATAAAATGATGAGAAGATGTTTTATGGGTTGCTTCCATTTTTTCTGAAATAAATGAATAAATATAATGCTTATACGTTTTCATATCTTTTATATTCTTAATAACGAATGGTATAGACCTTTCCACTTCGTCTTCCTTCGGTGCTGTTCTTTCATATGAAACATTATTGGTATCTTCAATAATGAAACCACAATCACACAAAATTTTATAGGTTCCAATGGTTTCTTTTGATATTTTATCTAATAAATCAAAAACTTTATCAACACCTGTGCATTTATTTAAATAATAATTTGTGTAAATATCATGATCTTCTTTCTTAATCGTATTAGTTGCATATGTCACGTTTTTAAGAGCTTTTTTGAATTTTTCGGAATCTAAAGGTGGTGAAAGTAGGATACAGGGGTATTCTTCATTATCAATAAATTGTAACTTATGTTTACGAATAAATTTAGTACCTTCTTCTGAAAGTGTTTCGTCTATTTCACCATCTAATAAATTTTGTGTTGATTCTGAGACATAATTTTTATATCTTTCTTCATGAGATTTCTGAACTTCTGATTCTGAAGCTGGGATATTCATTAAACCCTCTACTTCATTTTCATTATATTTTTCAACTTCTCTTAATTCCTTAATTCTTTCATCTATTTCATCTCTTATTTTTTTCAGTCTTTCAATTTCATTGTATTCATCATCTTTAATCCGTTCTTCATAATATTCAGGGAAAACATCAGGTTCTTTAGGTTTTTCTTCTTCAGATGTGGGATATAAGAAATTTATAACATCATCTTTATTCATTTTTCCATCATAATTTAAATCATTTAATAACTCCGCGACTTTTTTACAATTTCTTAAATAATATTTATCAACTTCATAACCCACCTCCTCTAATATATCCTTTATTTCCTCGTTTGTGAATCCTAATTTTTTAACGTTGTTAGTTTTGACGCTCATTTCATACAAAATAAAAAAAAAATAAAATAATAAACATAACTAAGTTTTAATTTTTCGTAAGACATGAATTTTTAAAAAATAAACTTTAAAAATTTTTATTTTTTATTTCATTATGGTAGTGAATCTTTCATTCATGAAAATAATTATTTCTAATTTCTTTTACTCGTTTATGAGGTCTTTGATTATGACTCCATTGATTCCATTCAGGATTTAAACAATGTTTAATTAATCGCGGAATATCTGACATCATCTATATATAGCTTCTTTTATAAAAGATAAAAAAATAAATTATTTTAAAATTAATGTTAATTTTTTAATGATTTATAAATAAATATATTTTAATGCATCGTCTATATATAGATGTAACAAAAAAAGTCACACAACCCTTCATATCCTACTACTTTGACTATTCTCAGAAAGAAGTTGAAGATTTCACTCAGAGATTAAGAGAACTCGTTGTGACTAAAGAAATCGCAGAAGATTTAATGCAAAGATCAAATAATAACCCAGGATGGGCTATGGTATCATTCTTGTTTTATCAATAAAATGTTTTATTTTTTTACTTAATTTATTATCTCTCAGCAAAGAAATTTTTAAAATTTATTTGATTAAAATACAAAAGTCTTCTACAATTGTAGGAGAGAGCAGAGTGTCAATAGGTGTTGTTGAGCAGAAAGATATCAAATTATACTTCAAACTTTTCTCCTTATCTTCATCTTCAATAGACAGTACTTGTTTTCATAAACCTGCATTTACAATGCAATTATGTATAATGACCTAGAAAGATTCATCTCTTTTACGGAAAGAGAAGGATTTGATAAAGATCAATTAATTTTAAGCAGTTTATATCCATATAATTGTGATTTTTCATTACTTGAATTATGTTGTTATCATGGAGCTGTTGATTGTTTCAAGTTATTACTAACGAACAAACTATTATGGGGAAACAGCTCTTCATTTTGCAGCAGAAAATAATTATAAAGAAATAGTTGAATTCCTTGTTTCACATGGTGCAAAAATCAATGAAAAAGATACTATGGGAGCAACCGCTCTTCATAAAGCAGCAGAAAATAATTGTAAAGAAATAGTTGAATTTCTTATTTCACATGGTGCAAATATCAATGAAAAAGATGATAATGGAAAGTCCATTCTTTATTATGCCGCACGCGGACAAAGTAAAGAAACAGCCGAACTTCTTATTTCACATGGTGCAAATATCAATGAAAAAGATATGAGGGAAAAAACCGCTCTTCATTATGCAAAACGTGAAAATAATAAAGAAACAGCCGAAGTTCTTATTTCACATGGTGCAAATATCAATGAAAAAGGCAATTGCAGGTTATTTTAAAAAGAGTTTACATTGAGTATCTCTAGTTTTATTATAACCTAATGCACAACATTACAAAAAACATAAAACCTTCGACAAAAATATCAAATGATTCAATTTCAAATATCAAATTTCTAAAAGTCATCAATAATGCCACCATTTTATTTCAAAAATATATATCTTGCTTCTTTTAGACTAAAATAATGCAAAATTTACTATTTTTTTTTCAAAATTTCACATATCCAAGAATTGCCAAGCTTGGCAATTGGTGATGAACAAAATTTGCGTTTTTGGCAGTTCCGACATCCTTATGTGTAAACTGCGTTGCAAAAGATCGACCTATCCTCGACTTTTGTCTCGCAGTTTATTATATTTAGGAAAAAAAATCGTAAGTTACTTTAATTTGTATGGGGCAAGGAGAGCAAATATACTCCAAGTCTACTCTTTCACCATAAAACCACAAATAAATGGATCTATTTACATCATTTTTGCATGTGATTGCTTCATTAGAATTAATTAATACTGCTTTTTGAAGTTCTGTTACTTTGAATCTATTTTTTTATTTATAAGAAGTTCGATAGTTTATAAAACATCCGAACCAAATTTAAAATAACTTCAAAAAAATCAATTTTATTCTTTCATAGTTAAAAAAAAGCCTTAATGGAATGGATCATCGTCTTCTTCTTCGTCATCATCGTCATCGAATCTGTAAGATAAGTCATCATCTCTTCCTGTTGGTGAATCTAAACCTCTTGCATCATTATCTTCATCAATTTGAATGTCCATATCTTCTACTTCTGATGTGTTATGCGCTTGAGCCTTCTGCTGAGTAATCATGAAACCACCTCCAATTCCGTTATTATCGTCATCATCATCTTCAAAATCAATATCGAACTCATTTCCATCTTCTTCTTCATTCGTAGAGTTATTGTGGCTTGTTTTAAGTGGCTGGTCATCCTCATCAACATCTACGTCAAAGCCATTGTTTTCTTCAACTTGATGTGCAGGCTTTGGCTTCTGTTGTGCAGCAACTGGCTTTTCTTCTTCATCCTCACTTAAATCAATATCAAATTCATTACTTTCTTCCTTCTTTTGTGCTGGCTGTATTGGTGTTGACTTTGGAGCTGCTGCAGCTGGTGCTGGCTTTGGCTTCTCCTCTTCCTCCTCGTCATCTTCAATATTGAACTCGAATTCGTCATCGTCAACTTCATCCTGCTTCTGTTGAACTGGTGCTGGCTTGGCCTGGACTGGTGCTGTCTTTGGCTTTTCTTCCTTATCTTCATCATCTTCAATATCGATGTCAAATTCATCGTCTTCTTCTTCCTCTTCTTGCTTCTGGATTGGAGCTGGTTTGACTTGTGCTGGAGCTAGTTTAGCCTGGACTGGTGCTGGTTTCGGTTTTTCTTCTTCCTCTTCATCATCTAAATCGACTTCGAAATCAAAGTCTTTTTCTGCTTGTTGAGGTGCTGGTTGAATTGGAGCTGGTTTGGCTGGTGCTGGTGCTGGTTTTGGCTTCTCTTCTTCATCTTCATCATCTAAATCGACTTCAAAATTAACATCACTGCTTCCAGATTCCTCTGCTTTGGCAGCAACTGGCTTCTCTTCTTCCTCCTCGAATTCAATATCTTCCATATCATCATTTTCTTCATTCTTTGCTGGTTGAACTGGAGCAGGGGCTGGCTTAGCTGGAGCTGGTGCTGGCTTAGCTGGTTGTGGCTTGTCATTTGTTAATCCAACTTTGACTTCATTCTGGTTATCTTTGTTTCCTCCGAGAGTAAGCTTGGCACCAACATTGCCAACTTTGACGTTGAGCTCAAAGCCAGACTTTTTATCATCTTGCTTTGGTTTCTGCTCTTGTTGTGTATTAACGGATTTTGGCTTTTCTTCCGCTTGTGATGTATTCTGTTCGTTTTCAAGTATTTGATCAATTCCAGCATTTTCGTAGAAATATTGAACTCTCTCTTCAATTGGATCTGGATCATATGCATATGTTTGAATAAGTTCACTCAAATATGCATCTGCATCAGGACTATTTTCATAGTCCTTGTATTCTGGCTGAACAATTCCATTTTGTTCGAGTTCCATGACATCTTGAGTCAATTTGCATTGATTAGCTTCAAGAAAATCACTCACAACTTTGAAAGCAATCTTAAAAGCTTCATTTCCTTTTAATTGCATGAAATTTGGCTTGTAATACTTGAATTCTTCTTTGTTAGATCCTTTGACTTCTTCTGCGATGCGTTTAATAAAGTCTGCTTGAAAATGATTTGGATAACCCTTTTCTTTCATCATTTCCGATGCCTCATCAACGAGGGAAGAGTGATCAATCTCGGAATTGTTACTCATATTTTTAACGGCAGTTTAAAATTCTTATTTTTTATTGTAGATAAGGAAAGACAAGACTATAAGATCTTCAAAAGATTACTTAGATTTTCGAAAAAAGTGACATCACATGAAAAAAGGGGTGTTTCTCAATTTACATATGGAAAAAAATTTAAACGTACACTTTTTCACTAAAGGTTGAATGTAATACAAGTTTTGCTTTTTATACAATATGGAGAGAAAACGTATGGTTCCACTGCTGGCCCATAGATCCAGCTGAGATCTCTATTGGATGAGCTGAAGATTATTTTTGTATTTGAGAAGTTGATCTATTTAACCAACATTACACAATGAATTAAAATTAAAATTTATCAAATAATCAAAAAATACTCTCTCATTTGATTAAATAGTACACAATTTAAAAGAATTACATACATATTATATATTTACATACAAAACATTATATTTGTGTTGAATTTGGTATATATTTCCAACATTCAAACCTTTGATATTCATAAATTTTAACCCATCCGTTATCAGAAGTAATATTTGCCCAATTTTTAAATGCTTTCTGATAAGAAACTGCATAAGTTATATTTCTTTTGATGAAAAAGTCCGAATCTTCCGGATGTTCCATCATATAATTAGAATCTCTATCTCTTCCGAAATAATCCAGTCCATGTGACAACAGCCATCCTCCGTATCCCATGTAGCTCTGTCTTCCAGCCATTGTCAGGACAGGATTGCTGTGCCATTGGTCCGTCAGCCAAATTGCATCTATTGGGGTATTTTCCGACACCCATTTGCCAAATTCAACAGCGTCATCTTCGAACATGGGAGTTGAAGTTGACATTTCTAACACGTATAATCTAATTGCAGACAAACAAGAGAAGAAAAGGATAATTACACCTACGACTCTCCACGTTTTGTGTCTAAGCAATTTTGCCATGAATAATCCATAGCAATGTATAGCGAAAGGAATCCATGCTGCGTAGAAAACTTTAGTGTTATCTAGTTCCCAAGGTTGATACCTTATGATGTTTGTCAAAAGAAAAACAACAATCGATGGAATATAATCGATTTTTTGTTCTTTTGACAAAACTGACCAACAACTTATCAAAGAAACAAAAGCAAACAGTCCTAGACCACGCCACCATAGTTTTATGGCCAGGCTCCACTCCCTTTTGCGATTGTATGAGTTCCAAATCGGATCTAAAACAAGAAAACCGCTGCCGCCATCTGATTCTTTAACGGTAAGTCGCTTTAGATATGGTGCGAACTGAGGAACGCATAGTACATTGGCTACAATGCCGAATATCGACCAAACAAATACATGGGAAAGCATTTTCGACTTGTTTTTCCATGGAAAATTTAATGCGGCATAAACAATCGACCATTGAGCAAGAGCTACGTATGAATGGACTTGAACAAGTGGTGTTATGGCAACATATAGTGCAGCAATCAAGAAATATTGCCATTTCATCACTTTTATGCCTTTGATCAAAATAATTAGGCACCAATAGCATAATGGCATGGACCAGAGCGACGCACGCTGAGGAACAAGGATATGCATAATGGGATGGAACCAATATTCATAGTGTTCATTGCCCCAGTCGTGAATTAAATCTCCTTCTATAAATGTGGGATCTGCTAAGCGTAAAAAACCAAGACCGCCGAGATTTAAGAACATAAATATCGCAATCAAGCATGCAAAACGATCTTTGTGAAATAAAATACCGAGATAATACATTCCGAAAAGTAAAGAAAGACTCATCATAAAAGAAGGTATAAATAGCGCACCTCGGAATGTTGCATTGCCTGTAGCCATTAAAACAGCTGAAAAATAATTTGTCATGTAAGGATAAGCTAATTTCTCCCCTGAATAGAAAACTGTATTAATAATAAAGAAAGAATTTCGTATGTGGTTGCATCCATTTGTAAATCCTGAGATAATATTAAGGTGAAAAGGTAAATCTCCATATCCAGCTCCTTTTGAGAGATTACCGTTTTTAAGCATGGAATAATACATCAGATGTAAGAAAAATAGTGAAAATCCGGCTAATGTTAAGATTTCTAGGCGAGTAAATTTTATATATACTTGTAATTTTTTCTTTGATGAAATTTTTGTAAAAATTATCGATAGTGCTAGCATTATAATCAATCCTGGTAGTGCCACTTGAAGGCATAATGGTGATTTATATGAAAAAATAAATGTTAACCAAGAAAATGAAAAGAAACCAATGGGAATACCTGCGAAAAATCTCTGTATCATATTGAGTCCATTACCTATAAGAACTGTTAGCAGTGAATAGCCGAAATAGGCCGAAAGCACAACCTCAAAAGCCCAAAGCAATTCTCACTTGAAAAAAAAAGTCAAGTTAGGTTCCTCTAGAACCAAATGCTTCATAATTTTACAAGTTGTTATATCCATTTGAAAATGCACTTCATATAAGATTTATTCAAGCACAACTTTTTTTTAGAACTCCATTTTATACAAAAGATATTATTTCATTTTCTCTCCAAAGTCATTGTGGTATTAGCAGAAACGCATCGTTCCTTGCTCAAACACAGCAAACTGTCCCAGAATGGCATTGTTAATCAGCATCTCATTTCAGCTGAGAGTAACCAGTGTGTGTTTTAGCTGGAATGAGAACTTTCATGGAAGATTTCTTTTTTTAATATTAAATCTTCTAAATATAGGAGTGTTGAAGAAAAATGTGTGATATATTTCATAACAAAATATGTTCTGATATTTGGTTGTCTTCATTTCGAGAAAAAAATTCCTGAATAGGAAGGAAATGCCTTTTTCAGTGATTCTTCTGTACAGAAATAGAAATAACATATATCGTTAAGGCCGATATCATAACCCCTTGGATAGTCTTCAATAAGTCCCTTAATGTTATCGGTCTAATAGCCAGTTGGCGTCATGACGTAAACCTTTCAATTTTGCGAGATTTACGTCATGACATCACCGTTATTAATTGTACAAAAGACGGTTCTTTTTCAACATGTAATAAATGACAGATCATATTTATTTTGAGAATAGAATTTGTGATAAATGTCACTTTTCCACTATTGGTTTGAAGTAACCAAAATAGCTTGTTCATATTCTTATTAAATTTGAATAAAACACTGTGAATCCTGCATATGAATAGTCATTACAAAACTAATTTTTACTTTTTTTCGTTATTGAGATTTTGCAGTTAATTCGTTGAAAAAGTGTACTCAAATGTAATTTTTTGAGCTACATAGATTAATCAATTTCAATGACATCGTTATTAGTAGTTTATTCTACATTCATGATATAAAATATTTATTTACTTAAAATGTCTGATATAATAAGTTCAAAGCATAACAAACTAATAGCCCTAGCAAGAGTTCAATTAATGCAGTACGGTTCATCTCTAAGTATTAATTAAGTAGTTCACTATTCCCATTTAGGAATTTTCAAAAAAAAATCGACTATCGGCTTTTTTCGTTCACTGAACAAAAGTGGCAAAATTTTATTAAAAGGATGGAAATATTACGCAGTTTTTTTACATACAAAGATAAGTATGACCTGTCATTTATTAGACCTGATGTTGAAAATGAACCATCTTATTTGAATCGTATATTCCCTTTGGAATGCCGTTATATTTCAAATCGTCAACTTAAACAACAATTTATTCAACAAATGACTCCAATCACGGAAAACAAGTTCATTTCACTGAAAGATCAGCTTCAATTTCCAATAAAGCGTGCTAACTACTTCAATCTTGCAGTGAGTTATAACCTTAATGCTACTGAAAATGTAATTGCACTTGTCCCAATCATAAGAGAATCTGATAGAGAAACTATTGGCTATTTTAAATGTTATTTAAATTTTCCGAAATTCAAATCTCTAAAAATTTTACTGATGCGTTTAACTTTCATGGATGCTGAAGGTGACATAAAATTTTCAATTACACGATTTGAATATATTGATCTTCCAGACAATATTAATTTAGAAACAATACATTATATAGATGACTATCCGAGGGGTTATGATATCGGCGTTAGCAAAATAAGTTATTTCTATTTCTATACAGAAGAATCACTGAAAAAGGCATTCCCTTTCTATTTAGGAATTTTTTCACTAAATGAAGACAACCAAATATTTTGTTATGAAATATATCACACATTTTTCTTCAACATTCCTATATTTAGAAGATTTGATATTAAAAAAAGAATTCATTCGCAACAAAAGAAATCTTCTAAGAAAGTTCTCATGCCAGCTAAAACACACACTGGCTACTCTCAGCTAAAATGAAATGATGATTTCTGATATATCATCAATTCGTCTTGCAATTCCTAATATTAAATATATTTCGGATAGATCTTCTCATTACACTATAACTCGAACCCCTAAATACCATAGAAAAAGTGAATAATCTAGATATCTAATTTTGGCAGTATTCTATAAAATCTATCCAAAAAGCTTCTACATAGATCTAATAATAAAATATCAGTATTTCAACAATGAGTGTTATTTGCATTGTTATCAGATTCGGATGAAAAAATCTTTTTATATTTTGGTATCATGAACATAAAGTAACATGTACATATATATGACTGGATTTTGAGAAAATGAAATTCTAAATATGTTATAAAATCATGATCGACCCTCTCGGATTTGGCTCATATTTGTATATTATACTATCTAGATATGAGGCATCATTATGCTGATATTTATTTTTGAGTGTCTATCCATCATGTTTCTATGGTGAAGCATGGGTAGAGGGTCATGTTTTGGTCAGATTTTTAGAGTATTACGCCAATCTGGCAGAATTACACAGAAAATGTCTTCAAGAATAACGTATGGCAACCAACAAGATAGAATACTCATCTTTTGTTAGTCAATGTGCCGCATTCAAGGCAAAAAAAACTATTTATGCTTGTCGTCGTAGTGACGATAGCGCGGAATATCTTTAATTACATTACAAAAAGATAATTTATATTACAAAAATTATTCAGGATAATGATCTCCTTGCTTCTCTAAAGCGTCTTTCATATATTCAATTAACTTATAAATGGTTGTCAAACGCAAACGATTAATGTCTAAAATAACATTGTCTTGCTTAATTTCTAAATTAGGTTCTTCATCGTGAATAATATTGAGCATATTCCTATGATGCTGCTCAGAGTAAAGCTTTTCAGAAGCTTGTATGAAACAATCAATTTCGTGTTGAGTTAATACGTTCATTTCATTGAAAGATTTAATGTTACAGAGTGATGGAATACATTTTTGAACATATACGGGAGGGTCTTCTGCTAATGATTGCATTTTGCGGCGTATTTTAATAATCTTTTCTGCCCAAGAGTTCATATCTGCAGTTTCTAGATTTCGTAGTTTTTCTTCTAAAATATATTGAACAGCGCCTTTTCTGAATTCTCTCATGTTAGGTTTATCGTCAAGATGTGATGGAAGAGAAGTATTAAAAACTTTATCAATATCTGCTTTCCACATTTCTAAAGTTTCGTATTTTCCTTCGTCTAGTTTAGTTTTAACAGTATCTAAATCAAGTGTATCGTCTTGAACTCTTTGCGTTGAGAACATTAATTTTAACTTGCCTTTACCCTTTCCACCTGATGATAGCTTCTTATATTTTCCTGTAATGGGATGATTGATCAATTCTGTCATCACCTTCACAAGGATTTCTTTCAATTGAGTAGAAAAGGGCATGAAGGTAATATTGTCACTTTTTTCCAATTTTTGCATAAATTTAGTGTTCTCTAAATTACAAGATTGTTTAGTTTTCATTCGGAGCGAATATATCAATTATATACATGAGCCCATATGGGTACTATTACTATAGGAAATTTCATATGATTCTTGTTATATAAAGAGTTATTAGTACTTAAACTAAGAAGTGCCTTCACTCCCAAACTTATGCATCGCTGTCTTAGAATTTACTGGGAGTGACAGTAAAAGTCTATTCAATATTCACATTTGTCGCCTCACGTCAAAAATAATATTGGCAATTCAACTACAATAGAAAAAATACCAAATATTATGGATGAAAAAGCTCTATTAACATAACCTAATTATTGCCTATAAGTTGAATTTTCTATTTACTCAAAATACGATCTCAAAATTCAGAAAGTATGCATATGAAACCTTAATATTCTGAAATTATTCGATTTTCGAAGATTTATGCATAGGAATATTGACACCTAATTATTTTGGTAAATTTAAAAATAATAATTTTATAGTATTTAGAATAGAAAGATATTTTTAAGTACCGTGAATGATTACCATTTCCTTTGGTGCGATTTTCTCATTGATTAAGAATTCTGCGACGTTTTGGCGTTGGTCGCCTGTAATTTGAAGGACTTTTGGCTCATTCTCTTCTGCAATGATATTGCCGTTGCAGCAAAAGCGCTTCTTGAAATAGGAAAGTACTTTCTTAAGATCGAGTTTTTCTGGAAGTCCCTGAATAATTGTCAAAGACTTGCGTCCAGAGCGCTGTTGGATACGAATATGGATTTGATCCTTAACACTTGGTGCAACTACTGAGGCTTTCTTTTCTTCTATATCATCGAAATTAGGAACGAGGTCACTATTATCCATTGCTTATCGTCAGGCCAAGTCACTTTTGAGTGAGCCAAAATTTTGATTAGATTAACATTAAAAATCAATTTCATTAAGCTTAATGAATATTTTTCATCAAATTTTTTGTATCATAAAAATTTATTTTCAAAATATTTGAATGATTCCTTCTCAAAATCTTGTTTTCAATTGAGAGAAAATAAAATTGCAATACGCTATATTAATGTATTTCATCTAGGAATCACAGCCAGTTATTGCACTTCATTTGGATATGAAATTTAGTTATCCAGCGCAATTTATTCGTTCAAAGTGATTTAAAACAATCCGATTCCAATGTGTGGCTTGACAAAATTATCATGTTGAGTATATTTGATTACCTGAAGATAAAAAATTTATAAAAAATTGAATTTTGAATATTATATTATAGAAAATTTACAAAAAAAATAGAAAATATACATATAAATATTTGGTTCTAAACCATAAACGCGGCTATTCCGAAATTCAAAATATATAAAGGATCCATTTCAACAGTAGTCTCTAATTCAAGATCCTCATTGGCTATTTTGCGAATTGTCAATAGCCTGCTATGTCCTTTTCCATCTATAATGGCATTTTTCACAGATCTTAGAACAAATTTTCCAAGAAAGTCTAATTGCCACGTTCCTTTAGTTTCGTTATATATAGGCTCTCTAGACTTAATTGGCATCATCTGTTGAAGGTTTTCGTCAGCGCAATAAATTAAATTTGTAAATCGAGTTGTAGAAGCGCTTCCTGGATGCATATCAATAACCATTATTGGCTCACTTGATTCCCCGTCTCCTGTGTACAGCTGGAACTTTTTCTCGAGCCAGCCTTCGATTTTGATTGTTGCGTCAAACTGAGGCGAGCTGAGATGGGCCTCTTCACCCTTTTGTATTCTAAGCAAAGAAACTACGACACTTTTGCCTTTGGCAGTATATAAAACTTCATTTTTCTTAAAAACTTGGTAAATTAATCGCTGACTAATTCCACGGATTTTATAACGATGAACCCTGTATATTGTAGAGGGCCGGCTCAAAAGCTTTTGTACGTATTCAGACCGTAGACATTTTTTCTTCTTTTTTACCATTTTCTTTTCAGAATGGTGTTTTGGTTGTGATTCCAATTCCATTTCGCTATGTATTTCATTTTCATGTTCTATCGGAGAAATTATTTCTTTTTTTGTTTCAATTTTAGGGGAATTCTCTAATCTGTCAGGATGGCTATAGCTGTTTTCACTTTCTTGGTCGTCACTTAATACAAATGTTTTTGGAATAGCATCATTTTGAGGAGAATTTTGTTGTTGATTTTGTTCTTTCTGCTCTCGTTGAGGAAGAGGTTGTTGACTTTCTTCCTCTGATTCTGAACTGTCATCTAATACAAATGGAGTAATTCTATTCTGCGGTGGTGAGTTCTGAGTATTTGTATTTCCTCTTCGAGCTGGCCGAGTCCTTCTTCCTGTATTACGTGTGTTTTGAGGTTTGTTAGATATGATAATGAGATCATCATCGCTGGAGTCAGATGATCCATCCATCATAAATCAAAAATAAAATTTCAATCAAAAATTGTCACGTTTATGGAGAACAAAATTTGACATTATATATTTTGGATCAAGAAAAGATCGCTTTGTACCGAATATGATACAAATTACTCATATCAATAGGTTATTATTGGAAGTATAGGAGTATATATCAGCTTGTTAATTGTACCTTCATTGGAATTGTTATGAAATAATAGAATTTCATTTAATTTTGAATAATGTAGAAGAGCTTTTGATAATTGAGCGCATATAATAGTTACTCATAGTTGAATGCTGAACTCAAGCAATAGAATTTATGAAATAATTTTAATCTAATTCTGTATTTGCTACAAAAGGAACCAAATTAAGAGTTGACAAGCTACACACAGAAATCATAATAATTTGTTGTTAACTTAGTTATATAATTTTGGAATATTTCTGAATGAAAGGTAAAATCTCAAAATAAATTTAAATTTTATTTAATCTGTATAAATATCGGTTGTATTCCAATGGTCGACCAAATAAATCAAGAAACTTTTTGCATATTCAGCGCCCCTTTGTGTTTCCAATACTCTGGACTTAGGAGGACTGACAATATTTGGAGAGAAGCAGATTGCGACGTTGAGGGAAGACATTTTTGTGTATTCATTTGCAGCAGTAATCTTCTTGCAGAAACCAACGAGGAATTTCAATGTATCACGGTTAACTCTTGGTAATGACTCTGCAAATTCGATGTATTTCTCATTCTTGACGCTTTCAAGAAATTCATCGAAATATCCGGTTGGAATGAGAGGTTCTGTAAGAGCACGGAACCATGCCTTGAACATTGAGTCCAAATCATTAATCGTAAGTGATGAAATTTCGCATTTGTTGTGATATAATTCTTTAAGTGCCTTTGTATAAGCTAATTTTGATCCAGGGAGTCTGAAACAGCCCTCAGTCTTCAATATGCCTAATTCTACCATCCTATTTGTAATTTGTTTGAGGTAAATAGGATATGGATAATGGATTCTTTCATTTCTCGACTGAGACCAGATCATTTCGTAGATTGAAACACAGGAATAATGATTTCCTTCAAAAACATCGTTCGGTAAGTTGTCAATAATCTCGTCAAGTGGAATTGCTTCGTCATCAAATTCTAAAACGGATTCTGAAGGTGTTCTAGCATCATATCTAATGTAAGTGAACTGTGCCATGCTTTGTAATACGGGATCTGTGTCATGACATCTGGATTCGATGTAATTATAAACAACTCCTTTGATATCTTTTGATGCAGGGAAAATTGTGCAAACAAACATGAATGCCTGCCATGTCTTGCGGCTGAATTCATCTGGTGTCTGGTTTGTGAGCCTCATGGCTTGAAGAAATGTTTCATCAATCAATTCTTCATCTTTTCTGATCAAATCGTAGATTTCTTTCAAAGCTTTCTTTCCATCTTCATCGGCTTTGGCCTTAATATATGTAAGAAGCAGTTCATTGAGTTGGGCACCAATTTTTTTGTTTGAAATCAGAAGAGATGTTTTAAGCGGGTCCATGGAACAGATTATAACCTCACTAGGTGAAAATTTCTTGCCGAACATTCCTCCTTTCTTAACTTCGGAAAGTCGGGAATTTGCGAAATCAAGGAAAGTAGGGTATTCTTTAAAGTTTTTAGGTAAAGGTGGAGCGAATATACCTGTGCCTGGCATATACATTTCTTTGTCTGGATTGATTAGGTCTCCCATTGAAGTTGTTTTTGAATAATATTCTTTGCTCTTTTCAAGCTTGATATTATCTTTATTTCTTTTATGAACACGAGGTCCCTTTTTTGGAATCTGGGGGGTTTCGTTTTGTACAGCTTCCTGCTGTTCTTCTTCCATTAAAATTCTATTCAGAAAAAAGTTTTTGTTAATTTTAATTTTTAGTTAGTGTATAGTATAATAAGCTAATTTCAAAAATTTCGAGTGCATTTTTTTGACAATCATTCAATTTTCAGAAAAAATAATGCGTACATTAGTCAGAAAAAATAATAATGCAGTTAACTTTATTTATATTTGTAATGATCTGCTAATTGCATTGAAATTATTTCTGAAGTTTACAAAAGCAACCATAATGTCGTTAAAACAATTTTGTACAGTTATATCAATTTTATCTATTATACAAACATTTATTTGTTGCATTAAATTTTTTTATTCGTTTTAACTAGCGATGCCTGATATCAAATATTGATAAGTCAATGGTTGTTTTTAGTGCTTACAGATACAATTTTAAAAGTTTTGACTAATTGTCATTATCAGTTCTAGTCGATTTTTTTATGGGCGTGGGCGCACCAATAGATTAATCCAATATATGGTTTAGAATTGCCCCATTTTTACCAAGTTTCAAACTCTGATTACTTAAACTTAATCTTATTGAGTCTCATTCACATTCCATCTAATGTTTTTTAAACTTTCTAAAAGGAATTATTGATTAGATCTACAAAACACGATTGTATATGTTGTAACCAGCAATTCCTTTTAATAAGATTGAATAAAATAATACCCTATAATTTTATGAATATGGCACTTTTCGTCGATTTTCAAAGAATTAAATCGCTTCTATCTCAATAACTAATAAACATATAAGATTTTTGAAAGTATATATATAGTGTCCTACATCTCAAGATATTATTAATATGTATTAGAAAGAATAATATATTGGATTTTAATATCACAAAATGACTTTTCAATTTATTGTAGTTCCTCACAGAGTTGAGATTCTACAAAATTCTTTGCAGATAATTTATGAAGGGATGATAGACTAACGAACTATAGATACATGAATTGAAAGTAAAAAAATCGATTAAATATGAACCTTCATAAACCGTTTAAGAAACTTAAAAACTATTCTTTATTGTTTATTTTGGACGAAGTTTAATATGATTGTGGTTTTATTGGACAATAATCGAGTAACGGAAAAATATAACATTTATCTATAAAGTGAAAATTTAGAGGTATATTTCGTAAGATATTTCCTCTCTGATTACAAGAACTATTGTGAGCTATCAATCTAATGAAAGAGAGCAGATTTGGCCGTAATGAAAATGCAATACTTCGAAAATCAATGCAAAAAAGATTAATTTGTTAGAAACAATCGACTATGACACTGAATTCTAAGAGCAAACGTTTACATTAGGATATTTTGATCATTTCCAAATATTGCAAAATTGCATTTAAACAAGTTAAGGAGAATACTATATTAACCGTGTTGTAAGGAAATATAACAATTTTAAAGATTTTGCGACAGAATTTGAAAAAATATGAAAATCAGATATATAAAAATTGAATAAAATAACATTATGATGGAATATAAGTAGATGAGCTATTAATGCTGCTATGATTTAAAATTGAGTAGTAATGAAATAGAATTTCGATTAAAAAAATTAATGTAATCGTATGAAAGCTTTGATCCAATAATTAATATTCGCAAATATTTTAACCTACTAATAAAATTCTGATTATATTAAGATATTTTAAAAATGAGATTCCAAATTGAATGGTGATGGAGATGAAAATTTTTAAAAATATAAATAAGAGGATAAATTGATTGAGATATTAACTAGTAAATATTTGAAAAAGTAAATTATTTGAAATCCTTTAAAAAAGTTACGGATAAAAGCTATATAAATAAAATGACTGGTGTGGTTGGTTAGCTTAATGTGTAATATCAAAAAGAATTAATGGGTGTTGTGAAGTGAGCAACTTTGAGAAGAATCATTTGTGATTCTTGTCAAAGTTGAATCAAAGACAACAATTGATAGACAATTGTTGTCTTTGTGTACAACATTCACTTGAATTATAAACAATAACAAGTGTTTGTTGTTCACTGAGCAACTTTGAGAAGAATCATTTGTGATTCTTGTCAAAGTTGAATCAAAGACAACAATTGATAGACAATTGTTGTCTTTGTGTACAACATTCACTTGAATTATAAACAATAACAAGTGTTTGTTGTTCACTGAGCAACTTTGAGAAGAATCATTTGTGATTCTTGTCAAAGTTGAATCAAAGACAACAATTGATAGACAATTGTTGTCTTTGTGTACAACATTCACTTGAATTATAAACAATAACAAGTGTTTGTTGTTCACTGAGCAACTTTTAGAAGAATCATTTTGTAATACTTTGAAACACAAAATAGCATATTATGCTTTTATTTATCTATATGTGTCATTTTGGGAGACATTGTCTATGCAAGTCTCCCAGAATGACACATTCACACACAATCTTCTTCTGATTGTGTATCTTTTGTCAACAAAGTGCAACAGTGCACTGTTATTGTGTGCTATGCGTCATTGTGGGAGACATTGTCTATGCAAGTCTCCCAGAATGACACATTCATACACAATCTTCAATTCTTGTTTTAATTTTGTCTCATATTAACTGAATATCTCTCTTCAACATATTTACTTCTAATACCCGACAATACCTTATCATAAAACCTCCTTTAAATTCACTTTTTCTTCTTTCATTACTTTCAAATTCTAAGATTCAATTTTTTTTTCTATTTCATTCAGTTTTCTTTTATCAAAATCATATAACCATTCATACTGATTCTTAATTTACTATATTACATTGAGATTTCATCTTTTTTCATATTTCGAATTAAATCAGCTATTTAAACCTAATATCCGGACCTGTCAGTATTCAAATATTATTGGCCACATGTATCTGAGCATTTACACGGATTTTACCAAATTTTGCAAAAAATGTGTTATGAGATGGGTGTTTACCCACGTTTTGCAAAAAAACCAAAATGATAGAGTGGGTCATAAGGATCAGTTTTGCTATAGCTTGTCCGGCTTGAAACTCAATATTCATTCGGGAAAAGGCGTTTCAAAATTTTGTAAAGTATTCAAATTTGCAGCTTTGTTCGATTTGAAAATTGAAATTTGAAACGAAATGACTGTATGAATATGTTCTTCATATTGAATCTAAGCATTTCTTGGAATTTGGAGTTTTTCTAAAAAGTTTTATCGGTTGAAAAATTAAAAATAAAACAAAAGAATTTTTTTCCGATTTTTTAAACGCATCTTAATTTTTAACGGACGAAGGAGTATTTGATCAAAGTTCAATAAGGCTATCACACTATATTATAGTTTGCTTGCATGGCAAACAATAAAATTTGAAATTTAATATCTTCATAAAGATTTGATAAAACCATTTTTGTGTAAATTAGTATTTAATAGGAAAATATGAAATTAGATTAGTCAAACATATAAATTGTTATTATATGAAATGATAACAATTGATAAAACATACAGATTGGAAGATTAGGTGAATTTTTGTGATGAATAGGTGTGTTTGTATGTAATGCCTCTATAGTATATTCATAATAAAAATTAGTATACTATAAAAACTTGATTTGAGAAGAAAATTAATGTGGAATAAGAAGATTGTAGAGAAACGTCTCATTCTGTGAGACAGTCACAAATAATATCTCCTTACCATATCAAATCCTTAAATTTTATATATGCTATTTTTTTAATCTTTTAAAAAATTCTCTTTAACTCTCTTCAAAGACTTTCTTTTATGTCAAAAATTTGTTTCACTTTGCCCCAACTCATAGACTCTAAAAATAATAACAATAGCCAAATATATAAAATTAATTTTTAATTCATTAAAATTATATTTATTCAAAGTAAATCCTCATATAAACTTCTATGAACCATCCTCATCTGTTAATTCAATCAAGTATTCTAAGAAATTTGGGCAATTTTCGAGTAGGGGTAATTTTAGCTAAAAGTGACACACTTGTAAAAAGTGACACACCCGTGAAGGGTGTGATTACCGATCGGTAATTTTGACAGTTTAGAATTTAAAATTTTTTATGGAACTGTTGCGAGTTTCATAAAGAATTTAAGGAATATAAGCAAAGATTTGAATCAAAATCTTAGACCTAAGCCGCTCGATTCGCTCGCGGCTTCCGCGAATTACAGATCAGCAAAGATTTGAATCAAAATCTTCGAACTAAGCCGATCGCTTCGCTCGCGGCTTTCTTTATTATTTTAAATTTGCATATTTCCATCAAAAGTTCATAAGGTAAAAAATTTCGTTTATATTAAAAGGTGACCAAACTATTTTTTGAAAGTCCGCCATAACTTTAATGGTACTATTTCAGCGTGTACAATGAATACAAAAATTCTAAGAGTGCCACATAAAATAGTACTTTAGACTTGAGTTAATGCTACCAAGCAAATGTTAAAAAGATACCTTTTATATTATTGCAAAATAAAATCTTCATTATCAAAATAATATTAAATGATAATATAATATAATTTATAAACAACTATTATTTAATAAAGTTTAATTGCCAAGGTTCATCTAATTTTTTGATTTTTAATGTTTTATGAATTTTATTTATCATGTATATATCTAATGAAAATTATATATGTAGAAGATAAGTACCTTAATATGTACGTAAAAATTAATGAAATTTATTTTGAATGTAGAACCGAGCAATTTCCCTGTCACTTTTAGCTAAAATTTGGGTTTGCCAATTTTTTCTTGCTAGAATTGTAATCATTATAATTATCAATAATATTTGAAAAAAGACCGCTATAAAAGATAAAATCTTGATCGAAATGCGTAAAAACAATGAAAAGTATCTGATTGAAGAATTCTGGAACGCTTTGGTCTAGACACCACCATATGCAACGGTTAAGAGAGAACTGTTGATCTTGCATTATAAAGTCTACTAGTGAAATTTCGTTATTCATTAAAGAATACAATAATGTACCTATTTTCTTTTGTTTATTATGTGTTGATTTGTTTTGCCATCGAAAATAACATAGATATGTATCATCGGATTCTAATGCTAAAATTTTAAAGTCGTAATAAAT